CCATGCTTTTAGCTAAATGTTAAATCAAAGCTGTAGTTTCCATTTGGACTGAATTTGACAAATATTTTGGAATCTTGAGTTACTGATAGGATTATTTAAATGTAATTGATTGTATTTCCCTGTTTGACTAGAATGAAAAGTATTTCTATTAAGCCTGTCCATGTATACCATTAGAATTGTCATTTAATATTAAAACTCTGTAAACTAATACAAAGACAATTCAACAATTATATGGATTAAAACTGATTTAAATTCACAAAAGTCTGAGGTCTCTATGAATCTTTATAAACTTAATTCATTAAACATGATGAAGCAGTCCAAAACCAGGAGTCAACAAGTTCAATACAATCACTAATAAATCCAATGAAGAACTCAACAGAAAAGTCTTCACCCAGAGGGTGGCCAGAACATGGAACTATCATGTGATGTACATGAGGCAAATTATACTGACGCTTTTAATGGAAAGTGCAAGTACATGAGCGAGAAAGGAAGATGATGTGGTTTCTATATAAACCACCACTGCCAGAATGAGTGACAGTGTCTGTGTGTTCCCTTTATGTTAGCATTTGTAACATATGCCACAAAGACCAGGTTCTTGTTGAGACAGATGTCTTGAAGAGACAGATGTCTTGAAGTTTATTAATGGCTTTATTTAAACAGCTGTAAAATCACAGATGTATATGTCATCTGGGCTTCATGCTTCCTGACTACAAAGAGCAAAGATTTAATTGGTTAAGTGAGAATTTCATAAAGTTTCATTGCAGGTTTCTCTCCATGAACTCTAGTGATTTTGATTTGATTTGATTTATTATTGTCACATGTACCTAGGTACAAAGTGAAAAGTTCTGTTTTGTGTGCAGAACAGGCAGATCATACAATACAAAACACATATGAGTAATAGAATTGAGCGAGAAATAAAATGTTATGGCTGCAGACAATGTGGACAAAGAGTGAGGTCAACATTAAATTTGAAATTTGAGAGGCCCATTCAGACGTCTAATAATAGTGAGGAAGAAGCTGTTCTTGAATCTGCTCATACATGTGTTTAAGCTTTTGCATCTTCTGCTCAATAGAATAGGTTGGAAGAGATTATAACCGGGGTGGGAGGGGTCTTTAATGATGTTGACTGCCTTTCCTGAGGCAGAGGGATGTATAGATGGAGTCAATAGATGGAAAGTTGGCTTGCACGATGGACTGTGTTCACAACTCTGTAATTTCTTATGGACCTGGGCAGAGCAGTTGCAATACCAAGCCGTGATGTATCCGGATAGAACATTTCCAAGATGCGTCTATAAAAATTGGTAAGTGTTATCTTATGCAATTTTATGCTGCTCACCTCAATATATATGCATTACACCACACCACACCACACCTCTACGGCAATATTCTTGTACTATCATGCACGCACCAGTATGGACATCCTCACAACTGCTGGGATCTTTTCAGGTTCTACGAATGGCACCATATTTAAAGCCCAACTGTGCAATTCATGTACAGACTGCAGTATTTGCACTGGGGCAACGGGAGCTGTGCTGGTAAATCCTACTGCCCAGCCTGCAGCACTGACCTTGTCATAGGGAGGTGAAATGGTGTGATCTGCCACTAGTTGCATCAGGAACACCCTTGGCACATCTGTAAGTTGAGGATTGAAAGAGCCTCAATGGATCTTTGGAGCAGTATTTGCAGAATGGCAGAACCCGTAGGAGTATTGATATTTAGAGGGATCGGAGTGTGTAGGTCCACAGATCTCTGAAGGTGACAGAGCAGGTATACAAGGTAGTAAAAAAGGCTTATGGCATGCTTGCCTTCGTTGGAAGGGGCAGTGAAGCGACACGGTGGCACAGTAGTTAGCACTGCTGCCTCACAGCGCCAGGGACCTGGGTTCAATTCCAGCCTCGGGTGACTGTCTGTGTGGAGTTTGCACATTCTCCCCGTGTCTGCGTGGGTTTCCTCCGGGTGCTCCGGTTTCCTCCCACAGTCCAAAGATGTGCAGGTTAGGCGGATTGGCCATGCTAAATTGCCCGTAGTGTTCAGGGAGGTAGAGGGTGTATATTAGGTGGGTCATAGGGGGATGGATCTGGGTGGGATGCTCTGAGGTTCGGTGTGGACTTGTTGGGCCGAAGGGCCTGTTTCCACACTGTAGGGATTCTAATTCTAAAGGATAGACAAGTAATGCTGCAACTTTATAGAATGTTGTTTAGGCCACACTTAGAAAATTACTTACAGTTCTGGTTACCACACCAGCAGAAGGATGTGGATGCTTTGGAGAGGGTACAGAAAAGGTTTATCAGCATGTTGCCTGGTATAGGGAATTTTAGTTTTGAAGAAAGGTTGGATAGATTGGGTTTGTTTTCACTGGAACACAGGAGGTTGAGGGGAGACCTGATAGAAGTTTATAAGATTGTGAATAGCATGGATAGAGTGGAAAGTACGAGGCTTTTTCCCAGGGTGGAGGGGTCAATTACTAGGGGACACAGGTTATAGGTGCAGCAAGGGGTGGGGGGGAGGGGAAGTGGAGAGGAAGGCAAGTTTTGCACACAAAACGTGGTGAGTGCCCAGCACACGCTGCCAGAAGTGGTGGTGGTGGAAGTAGGCACAATAGCAGCATTCAAGAAACACCTGGATGAATACATGAATAGGAAGGGAATAGAGGGATACAAATCCTGTAAGTGAAGACAGTTTTAACGTGGAGGGACAAAATGTGTTGGCGCAGGCTTGAAGACCTGAAGGGCCTGTTCCTGTGGTGTACTGTTCTTTGTTCAGCGAGTTGCATGAAAGTCTAGCACAGCTGTCACCTTGATGACCACCAGGATACAATGGGTACCACCCCTTTAGGTTGTCTGCCTGCCTGCCTGCCTCCAGAAGAGAAGACAATTCTGTGACAGTGCCCTAGGACTCCTCAGTATGTGGCAACAATGTGTGTCACTCGTCAGCAGCAAATGGCATTGAGAATGATAAACTCGGGGCCTCCTGTACTTCCTCTGCATTGTGTGGGACTTCCAGCTGTGACCCCTTCATGTAGAAGCTATTCAGCAGCTGTTGGAGGTTACTACCAGCCATGGGCTTGCTGATGCATCTGTTCCTCTATTTGTTTTTAGCACCACAGCTACAGTAGTAATAACCCCAGTTATGTCTGGGTGGACTGGTGATGTTTCCAATGAACCTATGGGATGAATATCAAAAACAGAACAGGCCTTTAGTAATGTGAGCAGTCAACATTCATATCACACACAAATGATGGTTTAGAATAAACCTTCATACAGGGTAATATGAAAAATTTTTGCAGGGTGGGTCATGGAATGCTCGTACATAACGGACCTCATTCCAATGTATATAACACAAGATGTGCAGCATGAATACAGTAGGGGATTATAAGTACGATAGGGTTAATGAAACTTTGTCCCCACCCCTATTATCCCATCACCCAAGGAAGGCACAACTGCATATACAGCATGTTGGTAAATACTTAACAGGTCAAGGTAAGAGGGAATCAGCTATGTGCTTTTATATAGTTTATGACATATTGTGAATCATGGCTTGTCGGTGACACTTAAGTGGGGATTACTATGATTTCTTCTGCGTCACAGAGATGACTATGATCAATTTGTAATGACCAGTGATCTGGTCCACTTTACTTGCGATCGAGATTTGTACCCCATATAGTTGGCTTCATATCCAGGGAACAATGAATACATATATCATGTACTGTATAAGTGCCTGATTAATGCAATTCACCTTTGAAGGGCCTCACAAGTATGGCTGGTGTGTTCAGACAGAAAATAAAATACATCTATTCCATTCATTTCAGGTGTGATCACAGCTATTTTCCATTGTTGTTGTGCTTTTGCAGTTAATATGAAGAATGAAGACAACACAGGTCATGCTTCGCAGAGTCTCAGTCTCAGCATAATATTCTAACCCTTCATGTTCTTTTCTCCCATGCAAACCTTACTGAGCCCATCAGTCCTGAGCTTTTACACATTGCCACCCAAAATTTACATCTTCATTTCCCAACATTAACTGGAACCTTGGGCCTACAACTTAATCATGCCAACATCTTCGGGGCAGGCAGTTCTGGAGAAGGGTCACTAGACCCGAAACGTGAACTCTGCTTTCTATACGCAAATACTGCTAGACCTGCTGAGTTTCTCCAGCAAATTGTGTGTCCACTTTTAAGCAGTTGCTTTAGTTGAATACAGCTTTTAAATGAATGACTGTTCAGGATGATTTCTCATCTTACTGAAATTCATCTAGATTTTTGATCAGTGACTTTCTGAAAACAGTGAGCCATGCTCCACATCCAGCCAGAGCTGTTCCTGATTTACAGCATCCGCAGTTCTTTCGGTTTAATTATTTATTGATTTTGTAGAAGTTTGGTCTAATGAGTGACTAACAGGCCGTTTCAGAGGCAGATAAAACAACATCAGTTAACTAGATGAGCATTCACCCTAAATGATGGTCGTTGTCACCATTTGACTAGATCTTTAATTCAAAATGTTTTTATTGAATTCTTTTAAAGCAAATATGCTGCACTGTTATACTCATTGCTCATAGTGAAGTCAAGGAATGCAGATTTGCTCTATATGAGCTTGCTGACATGAACAGCTCACACAAAGCCATTCTGCCCGGTTGCCAACAACAGTGCTCAAGAGCTTACTCCTCAGTCCAAAGGATTCCCAGACAACCCAGAGAAGGTCAGTAACTCTATCTGCATTCCGTGTAGCCCAGTGAATTGAGCCAAGAAACTCGACAATGTCATAGTTTTTTCTTATTTACGTGGTTATACTTAAAGGATATATTTCATTAAGCCAAATAAGTAATTGAAAGTCAATAAAGTTCTTGCATAAATAATTCAGTATTTGGAACTGAGATTAAGTTAACTGGTTGTAAATCGAGATTTAATTTCCTCATAAATAATCATCTCACTCATTTGTATAATACTGTACAATATGCTTTATTGCCTGCTAGGAAATAATGATTAAGAATAACACTGCAGCAGCATACAGCATTATAACAGAGGAAAAAGGAAATGTGTTTCAATCACAAAACTAAACAGACAGGCAATAAACAGTACGCAATATAAAATGATCATCTGTCAAATTATGCAACTTTAATATAATTAGTGGCTTTAAACTCTTAATTATCAGTAGTAAAATTTCTGAATTCAATTTCTACAGAGCATATTAGTAAGAAATATATAAGGGACTCTGCTCAAAGCAATACAAAGGAGCTATATACACAGGCACCTTCTGTAACAAGAACTGATTCTCGTGTAATGGGGATATCTGAACATAATCATGAATTTTGCTTCATGTCTTCAAAATTATACTTCACTGAAATTACTCTTCTAGGAACATCAAAATGAGAACTTACAGCAGTCTCCCAGTTACCATGAGTGTGTTTAACCAAATAGCTTACAAGATTAAACTGAAGATGCTGTTCAAGCACACCACATATCCTTTCGGTTAATGTTCTGAATTGTTGTACACTATTGATCATACAAATAAAGGCTCTATGTTATCTACTTTGTTGCCTGCAACAAGGAGTAAAAGGCAAATATTTCAGTAGAGCAATGATGTCATTGAGCATTTAAAGTCATGACATCTGCTCTGTGCATGCCTAATAGTGTACTAATCCTGCAAGTAATTTTTAAATACCACTGCAATTGTTACCACACTTAGCTAGTCCTTTTCGGACAGAGTGGGGTTATCCAGAACAAAATCTGTGATGACACGGGACCTTTACATCTTGATCCTTTCTGCAACAGATCTCAAGACCTCACACTTGATATTAGGATGGTTTGTCATTGAACAGCCAGCTCTTTGGAAGTGCACTGACTGGGCCAACTCAAGAAATCTGTTAAACAAGTTTGTACAATATGAACAACAGCAGAGAATTTAAAAAAAAAATCATCACTGGGCAGCCTCAGCTTGTGACTTTTAGATCTGTATAAACAGCCTTATTATGTGATGTAATTACATTGCTAATTTGGTACTCTTGTGAATTGTGATGTTATTAAGTGTTGGATGCATGAGTTTGATTAATGCAATTAGAGGTTTCAGCACCTTCCTGAGATATCAAACTGTGATGAAACATTTGCCACCAAACACTGCCATATTGACACTACTGGTATCTATGGTTACATTTACACATCTGAAACTTTTTTTTTTTAACATTTTATGAACATAAATAATTTGCAGCATATGGATCATCAAAGGCCTCCAAAAACTGAAGAAGTGTCAATTGTGATCCGTCTCATCAACAGAGGGACATTTGCAGTTTTGCTCTGTTGCTGATGCAGTTTTTGCATCAAACCCATTGGCTCATAGTGGACAGTTGTCCAGCTCCGTGAACCTCACACCCAAATAATAAAATCCCAGTGAATTAGGAGGATCTTTCCAACTATATCAGTAAAAGTTCACTTGCTGTGAATGTTCAAAGGAAGCATTCCATATTGTTCTATGTATTTGCAAAGATTAGACAGTTGGCATGACAGTTAAGATCCAAAATACGGTATGATAATAGCACTGTTGAAACAAGACCACCAATCTAGACTTGAATCAAAATCAAAAGTTACAATTGTAAATAGTATTAAAAAAAATCTGTCATTTTAAAACGTCACAATGGTGACCTCCAAACAAGTGTTTACTGCAACAGATCTCAAGACCTCAGACTTGATATCAGGATGGTTTGTCATTGAACAGTCAGCTCTTTGGAAGTGCATTGACTGGGACAACATAACTCAAGAAATCTGTTAAACAAGTTTGTACAATACGAACAATGGCAGAAAATTTGTTTTTTTAAAATAAAAAAATCACCAGGCAGCCTCAGTGAGAGACTTTTAGGTCTGCATAAATAGCCTTATTATATGTGATGTAATTATGTCGCTAATTTAGATTTAAAAGATATAACAATTAATATAACAGAAATTTTCTTCGTGATAATAATTAATTTATTCATTGTCAGCAGACACGTGACTATAGTGGGTATTCAACAGCCAGGAGACAAATGTAAAACTTAAAACTGTAATGTTGCTCCACTTTTTTTTTTGTTTTTACAAACTGAACATGTTTTTCTCTGTACAGTTTACTTTTAATTGCAAGTCAGACTTTCTGACTGCTCAATTTTGAGCATTAACATCCCACCTTGTTGTGCTATTGAAATCTCTAATACGTCAAACTGAATAATTAAGTGCAAACAAATGGCTGAATTATCAGAAGAGTGTATAACCCTATGTTTGTATGGAACATGTTGGGTCTTCCTTTAAATAGTCTCAGTATTAAAATCAAAGCCTTGAGGTCACAGACATTCATAAAGATTAATGTTGATTTTCTGGGATAGTCAACATGGTATTGACCACCTTCTGGAATTTAATTATTTATGTCTATATTTTATTTGTATGAAATATAATTTGCTTAATACTTGTGAATCAGGAAACATCCCTGCATTGTTTTTTTTTGGTTTTAAAATTAAAATCAATAATACATCATTAAACTAGTTCACCCCACCCTTCCACAAACATTAAATATTTCAGTCTATCAGTCAAACCACCATTTAAAAATATACTACTGGAATCATTTTGTTAATTGCTCTACAACAAACTTGAATTTATGAAATATTAAACTGTATCGTACATTTGGTCAAAAATACAGGTGCATCACTTAGTTCTCTGCCAACCCTTTGTAGGCTACATTCTACTGTTTCTAATGGTGGGCTATGCTTTATTATTGTATACCATTTCCACCATTATTTAGGTGCTCTACTGATCTTGCTACTTTCACCATGACTTGAAATCATGACTGAAAGGGTATGGCACAAACATTTTAGCTGGTACACATAACTGGGTCATTAGAGTTATTCTTAATCTTCCAAATCTCTTTTCCAAAAATTAAACTTTTTATTTATTTGGAATCAATATGTAGGAAATGCAATTATGAATGATCTCTTTGGCCACAAGGTGTTATTGCAGCAACTATATCCAGCACAATAAAAAAGTTTAACTTTTGCAAAGCCATCTTTGTCTCCAACACCAATTAAAAAAAATAGTTAAATATCTTACTAAACTTTTTTTAAGGCCAAATAAAAGAGTCTCCTAGAATATGTTGCACATTTTGAGTTTGTTAAATGTGCCTTATTCTAGATCATAAAAAAACTTTACTCCAAGTTATATTATCCATTCTGTTATAATTCTAACTTCATTTAAAATAAACATCTACACTCAAAAATTGTGCATGTTAGATTTGAGTTCAGAAGTTACATCCACACAGCATATTCTCGTAACCACTATGAAAGAGTGGATCAACATCCTAGGTTCAGTTGGCTAAACAAAACAATAATTACATTGCAGCAATAATCTGTAGCTATTTCAGTAACTACTCAGAGTATGGTTTAATGACAAACTAACTTTTGGCTCAGCAGTTGTTTATTTGTATGACAGATGAACTGAGCAACTAGAAAATCTGGTCTGAAACAAAATTAATTGCGCTAACTGTTAACAATCAGAATTTGTCAAATTTCCCATCTCCATTTGTCAGAAGTGAAGTTACACCTTTAAGACTGTTGCATTGTCATCCCCCTTTTCTGTATCCTACTTAACAAAATTTAGATACACACACAATGCCATTCTTAGAACAGTCACATACCATTGTACTCACTATGAACAGTGATAATAAGGGGCTGCAATAAATGATGAGTTATTGCATTTTCTAATAATAAAAGCTCTCTAATTAGAATTCACCAGTACAAGTTAATTGGATTATGCTTTGTAAATAACACATTTGCATCAAAAAAAAATCAGATAAATCCTTTCTGTATAAATTGAGCTGTAACTATATAGTCTATTCCCATACAGAATAACAGCAACTTTTAGGTGCAAATGGTCTTTCAGATGTAACCAAACTTGCATTAAACTTTTCATTTTAGCTAATTCTCTTGAAGTCATGATCAGTGTGATTTAGTGACAACTTCAATGATATTTTAAACTGCACTTTTCTGATGAGAAAAATATGACAGCGGCACGGGAACTTTTGGTTGCCAAACATTTTTTTGCAGCCCGTATCACTAACTAGCTGCAACTGAGTTTTGGCTTCAAATGCTTCCAAGTGACTCTGAAGAAAGTTACATTAAAAGAAAAATGAAACTGTGACAGAATTCTCAATTTACCACAGGAATGCTGTTAAACATAACATGTTGTTCACAGCTCTGATGTTCACAACAGTAAAAGAGAGTTAGGTAAAACCAAAACTGGTACTTTATCATGTCTGTTTCACCAACAATTACAATTTGACTTTATTGCCCGGTATATTCTTATAAAGAAAAAGTCTGTGATTTTGATAACCATCTTGCTGATAATATATTGATTAGGGGTGTAAGAATTTAAAAATAGAGTGTCAAAGTAGACATTCCAAGTACCTGGCAAAGCATCATCCTGTAGATAGTTATAAATTTACTTCCTTTAATCTAATACTTCACTTATAAATGAACGGTTAGACATTTATTTTCCTCATTAAACAGTAGGAAATTACACTATATGATGTAATGCTTGGTTTAGTGCATTTTAATGGCTTACTCTGTGAAAATTCAACACAGTTGCTATAACTAATTATGTAACTTGTAATGCCAGCTGTCAAATGCAGCTCTATGGTCTTTATGTCGGGTTAGTCACAGCAATGTCTGTGGGGGCACAATCTACAACATGGATACAAACCTTTGTTGGTGCCACATTTAACAGGAATATTACAAAGTTATTCCCCTGCAGCAACCTATTAATTTAACTTTTAATGACAGGGCATGTATTGTACAACAAAGTAAATGCATGGTTATATTTAGTTAGACAACCCTTATCTATAAATGTTCCATGAATACTTAATTCTGTATTAAACATTAAAACATCAAAATAGGCCGTAAGGACAAAATTATCCTGTTTGGAAACAACAGTGAACACTGAAAGCCCAAAAGGTTAATCTCCTGTTTGTTAAATTTCTATTTTGGGAATTTCCACAGGGATTCCCCTTGTTCTTCAGCTGAACAGACTTCATGCTTAAGCAAGATTTGTGGCAAATATCTGCTGAAGTAATTGTTTTGAAATAGGAGAGGAAATTTCTAGCACAGACCTTATCTTTTCCAAGTCTTAATTGGCATATCCATTTAAATCTGTCCAAGCATAAAATTTAAGAGTCTGTTAATGTTTTAAAAAAGGAAAATAAAGTGAGCCATTCCTGTAACCCAACGATATAACTCTTCTTGTCCGCTTCAGTGTTGAAAGAATAATAAATTCACTCTGTGGTAACTCTTGCCGTTCTCAATGCTTCTGACACAATAAATTATTGCAGAAAAAACAAACTGTAGAACATGTAGATGAATTATCAATTCTCCTTGTTGCTCACTTTCCCCATCCATGAATGTTAATGTGCTTCAGTATAAGCAAATGGGCACACTCCCATATTAAGCTGATACATATTATAGTAGCGCTTTTGGGAACTCTCACATCTATGTTCAAATCCAAATCTTAGGGCGTTTTCACATGCTAAAAAGTGATATCAAGTGCAATAAGCTATACTTCAATATCATCACACGCTCTTGTTACAATTCAAAGAAAGGAGATCATAGTTAAACTCCACATCCCACCTATTAATCTAATGGAAATGTCACTTAAAGGTAAAGGAAACAAAAATAAATGCAAAAATACAACGAATTGTATTCTACTTGGTCAGGCATAAAAAGTAGACACTTTTTCTCATTATACTCAACTTTTGTGTAAAAGCATTATGAACATTTAAATACAGTAATGTGTGTACTTTTTCCATTTTTAAATATTAGCTAGACTTTGGGCAAAAGCTGGTTTCTACGACAAGGAAAAGACATTTCTAATGACAAGTAAAGGATGGCAATTGCACAAAAAAGTTAACAAAACGTTCTTTACAGCTAGAATGACAGTGTAATGAGTTATTGTATAAAGCAGTCACACAAGGATCATGTTACCAGGATGGGCATTTCTGTCCTTACTTCAAGCCAATGGAAGAGACGTGCAAACCCCAAACTAACTGAGAAACCGTCCTATCAATCTTGAAGAAGTTGAGTACAATGCAGCCTTGTTCCAATTAATTCTACATAGGCTGTGGCAATAAGTTACAATATTTCACTTCCATTTAGTTAGCAATAGTCACTTTTTGCCTTAACTCTATAGTTTAGTTTAGACCCTGAATCCCATTTAATTAACTTTAACTAACTCAAGATTAACGTAAAGATCCCAGCATGGTTTAACAAAAAAGTTTCAGAATCTATTTGCATAAACAAACAGAAATCTTATGTCTCACGATAATTTGCGCTGTTCAGTATTAGTTCCTGGATAAATTAAAAGCAAACTTCAGATACAAGTCAGGGGAAGGATTTTTCATTTACAAGTTTGTAATGCTTTAAGAGAGGTGTATCCATTTCCTGGTACTCAACAGTGAAAACCAAAACTTCGAAATAAAGCAGATCAACAATGCAGCAACAACTTTCTCAAGGTCCAAATGTGTATTTTGCTATGGAAATCTGAATATTCAATTCAGTGCTTTATCATGTAAAAGTTATGTATGGATGGACTGAACAAGGAGGAGAATATGGAGTATGGGGAGGGAGTAGGCAAGTAAACGCACCTTTTTAGCATTAATGTGTAAAAAGCTGACTATTTTCATATTGTTAACAAAATTGACAAGTTTATTCTCTGAATGACACCTGGAGATTCAAAGTGAAATGCTACAGTTCTTGGTAGTTTAGACTCTGTTTGGATCTAATGGATACCTATTCTTGCTCCTCCTCTCTATGCAAAGTTTGAGTATGAACTACAAACTGGCACAAAATTGCAGTGAGACCTGTATTAGGATGAATGCCTATAACAATAAAACTGTTAACCTCATGAATAGATGATTTTTTAAAGACAAAGAAGTAAACATTGACCCAATCTGAAATAATGAGACTTATCCAGGTTTTTATGTTCTGCACATTTTAGAAAATTTACTCCTGCACATTGCTCTCTTCACTTTTTCTGTCCTATGATGATACTTTATACTGATGCGTTATTTTAAATATGACTACAGTACTACTCTCACCCACATACCACCCTATCCTGGTCAATGGCCTTGCTATTTTACACTGAAGACAACAGAGGTGAGGGTCGGTTTTGGTACCAATGTGTTCATTTACAGCAGTGCATTGGACACCCAACAGGTACAGGTAATCTCTGGGGCACCAAGGAAAAAATAGATTACTATAGAACACCAGGGAGATCAGCTGATGCAGCCCAAGATCGCAAATGAAAACTGCATCTTAATTCACCGGCGATTCATGAAGCTACAAAGCCATAATGGAAACTGACGTCTGTTTTGAAAATCCTGATCATGACTAATACTGACACGTATTATATGTATTTTCATCTTCTTAAAGGCAACCATTACACACCTTCCAAGTGTCTATCTCCAGAAACTCAGTTGAAACTAAATCAAACCCAATCCCCGAGGATCAAAAAAAAACCTATTTATCTTATAGTCAAAATTAGTGAGGCATTTTGAATAAATTTATAACGGTCATCACAGAGCTAAATTAGAGAAAAGTATATTGAAAAGCACTAACAAATTTAAAACTCAAAAAGGTGATCGTGTGCAGATACAGTTTTCTTTCCTACCATTACGCTTTGAGATATTATTTTTTGAATCACAAATCTGAATTGAGAAGCCAACATTTCTTAGATGTTTCATATCAGAGTTACCAAAAGTTTAACACAGCTGTAAATGTGACAATTTATCAAAAATATTCAAGATTAAAATTAGACTAAATCTGAATCTGTTTAGATCATCTTGCCCGAGTCAGATTTTGCTCAGGTTTAATATGTGTTCAATCCAGACAGAAGTAGATTTCGTATATCAACTACAGATTTGTTTAGTTCAGATGGCAGCATCTAATACATGTTTCATTATAACTGTGCCATGGTATTTATTATTAGCTTTCTATTGCAAATTCCAGTCACAATCTTCTAAAGGAACAAAACATTTCTGATGTGAACAGCATGTGCTAATCCTTATGTGCGGCTTATAAAAACTGGGTATATTACATACAGTACACCAAATAACCCTGCAGGTTTCCCAAAAAATAGACTTTGTCTTGCACAATTAATATCTGGTATTTGTCGATGTCAGGATGTTGCACTAACAATCACAATATCCATGCACCAACTGGTCTTATATTACTTCATGGAAATGAAGAACTGTCTTTGTGTGCTGCTGATTACTTCACTGACCCTCAAAATTGTGCTACTGCTTTGAAACTTCATTTACAGTCCATGTTGTTTGCCATTCTGGTAACATGATCTTCAACCAAATGGGAAGAAAGATATTTTGCATTCAAGCTAAGCAGTATGAAACATCAGTAATTCTAGCTGTTGGTCTGACAGAAGACTTTTTTTCCTTTGTGCTGATATACTTCTGCAACCTGAAATAAAACCTGAATATCTCCTCAGTAATTTGTTGAATTAGTAACCCTATAACCATCATAATAATCATTCACTGTAAAAAACACAGCAGTGCAACAGTTGGGACCTAAAAAGCTTTGCAGGATTTCTGCCACTATTAGTGCCTAATTGCTTAAAAAATAAGCAAATTACTTTACACATCTTAACAGTATATTGGAAAACAGTCACATCCAGTAAACTGTCCCCATGCAGGGTCAGTGAGGTTTAGCAAGAGAAAGCAAAAATAATAGGTATTAAATCATCATCGAAAACAAAAAAGAAAGCACAAAGATTGTGTGTAACAAAAGGTACTTACTGTCTGCACAGAGACATGTTGTGCTATTAAACTTAACTACAGATTAACAGAGATTTCAACTAAATAATGGTGCCGTTGAAATAAAATATCTTAATGCAATGGGCAAATGTAAAGAACTTTCAATAATATTTTTCCTGCCATATCATTTCAGTAATCAGGCAGAAGTTCATGATTAAACAGTTTCCATGAAACTCAAAATCATAATATGCTTTAAAAAAAAGGAAAAACAGAGGTTGATGATATCTAGTCACTAGCACAGTGCATCAGTGTTACTTGAGAAAAGCTAGAATTTGCAGCAAACTTGAGTAGCTCACACTCTGATCGTGTAGCGTGCAGTGGCAAGAATTGCCAGTAGGTTTCATGGGCAGTTGTTCTGTGTAACAGCTATTCTTTTTATATACCAGGTTGCCTTCAGATAGGGAACCAAAAGCTGAAGAAACTGGTTTAGCCCCATTCGTAAACGTTTGATGCCCAAATTCTGAGCCTGTCCAGGGGGCTCCGCTGAACCAGTGTTTCCCAGCTGTTCTGTGAGGTACCCAGTCACAGCAGGGTGACACTCCGACAACGCAGTCAATATTAGGTCAAACTGACCCATCTCGTGTGTTCCAGACTTTGTAGAGATACAAAGTAATAATGCGTTATTGGTCTGCACAGGAGATAAGTACTGAGGTTTGTGCCATTTCCTTAGGCTGTCCATCATGGTTTAGAGAAACTGCACGCTGGCCTCTGCAGATGAAAGAAACAAAGATAATCAATACTACAGATATACACATTGATCAACAAGATCAAATGCCAGCATTAATGCCAAGCTTTTCCTGGGGACATGCATGCTGTGAAGATGTATCTACTAACAACCCTTCTGTATTTGGACTGAAGTGAAGTATTGTGAATAGCACATTTACTTTGTATGCAAATCATTCGCTTAGATGGGATAAACAGATCAACACTACATAGACACTATGAAAACTAGATTTGTGAAATTAGAATATTCTCATCAACTTTTAAATAGCCCCAATAAGATTGTCAGGCATACACTCTGTCTCCATGTGAACCATGCATTATAAAAAGATAGAATCGTAGAACCCCCTACAATGTGGAAAGAGGCCACTCAGCCCATCGAGCCTGCAACAACTCTCCAAAGAACATCCCACCCAGACCCAGCCCTTACCATAACACTGTAACCCCGCATTTCCCAGGGCCAATCTATCCAACCTGCACATCGTTGGATTGTGGGAAGAAACCGGAGCACCCAGAGGAAACTCATGCAGACACGAGGAGAATGTGCAAACTCCACACCTGGGTAACTGGCATTATGAGGCAACAATGCTAACCACTGAGCCACCACAAGTGGGCCCTCTCCTTTGATTTCCTATTATTCTTCCTTAAACAGCCAAACTAATGGTACTATTGGAAGCAAAGAAATAGAGGCAGAAAATAATAAAAGTTGACACAGGAAATGCTCACAGATGCAACATTGTTAATAAGTGGGGGTTAGTTTTGCAACCTTGCTCCTAAGGAAAATTGATTTTTTAAAGCCCAATGATTAAAGGAGGAAGACCTGTTGTATAGGATTCCTGCTTCCTTCAACTTGCTCATTGATTTGTTGGATTTTGGGGAGGGCGTGGGCATGACATGCGGTGAGTGCGGGCTGGGTGGGGGCAGGGCTGCAGGCGATGAATACAGTTGGGACAAACTCGAAGATGAACCTGCCTCTTGCCTTGTTTCCCTGGGACAAGGCTGCCCAGTGGAACCTGACATTACAGCTTTCCCATCTATTCCACTAACTAAAGACTAGAGGCTGATTTTTCATTGCTGAGAAAACTTGGGCCGGGTGATCAAAGGGAAATTCTGGGGCCTCAACTTTAGAGTTATCAGGCCATTGCTACTGTTCACCAGTTTTCCCAGCTTGGGTAGTGGGTTGCGACCTGGCATATGCTTCAAATGACAATAGTGTTGCTATTTAAAATGTGTGTTCCAAATACAAGTGCCCCTCAGGTTACTATTTTCATTGGGGTGGGTGGGTTCTTGAAGATTTTGAGAACCACACCAGGTAAGCCAACTTATGAACACTGGCAGGAGCCTGTCACAGAGACAGGATATTTTCAACAAATAAGTTTACAAGTTCTTGCCAACATTAATTGCCAGAATTAGTTTTAAATTTTAAAGATGTCATTAATGCAGTAATGTAGTATGTGGCCCTCCATTCAGCTGGTTTTGTTAAAACAGTTGTGACACTCCTACAATGTATAGGGAATGTTTATACAGCTGCAAAGGAAACTGTTTGCTTGTTGAAAGATTTCAGCGCTTTTAACTTTCTTACCTTACTTTGGAATGTTTTTTTAAACGACTGTTTATTGCCTTTTTCCAGCAGTCCAATGTCCAATCTTGCCTCTCTCTTATCTTTTAGATATCTAAAAAAACTTTTATAATTTTCTTTTATATTACTAGTTAGCTTACTCTTACATTTCATCTTCTCCCCCTTATTGTTTCTGGCTTCCCACTAACCTTCACTACATTGCTTGCTTTTTCTTTTGGTTTTATGCTGTCCCTGACTTCCTTTGTCAGCCATGGACTCAGCACTGATCCCTGTGGAACACCACTGATCACAGATCACCAACCTGAAAATGACCCCCTTATCCCACTCACTGTTTCCTTCCCCTGAGCCAATTCTCTTTCCATTTTAATACATGACGTCCAACATCATGGGATCTTAGCTTATGACTTAACCTTTTGTAAGGTACCTTGTTGAATGCCTTCTGGAAGTCCAAACACAACACATCTACTGGTTCCCCTCTATCCGCTCAGGTTGGGACTTCTTTGAAAATCTCTAATAATTTAATCAAATGTGATTTCCCTTTCATGAAGCTGTGCTGATACTGCTTGATTAGATTATGATTTTCTAAATGTTCTGCTATAACTTCCTTAATAATTGATTCCAGTACTTTTCTAACAACCTTGACTGTTTTTCTATGAAGTAGCAAAGCCTTATTAGTCACCTCACCTATGTGCATTCTCCATTGCTGCAACTTCTGCCAAGGCAGCTAAACTGAAGAATGCTGGGATTGCAGAGGTTGCTTGCACTTCTGGAGAAATGCTGCATGCCTGTTCAGTTTCTGAATGACTATAGTTGACTCCACCAACAGAAGTGTCTGTCTTTAGTGGCTGCTTTTTCTTTTCTTGCTTACATTGTATCTTCTCCTTTGATAGATCTGCAAAAAGTGAAATGCAATTAGGACTTAGGCAATTTGGAAAGAGAAAAAAAACCAAAAACTGTTGATTCACTTAAAAATGAATTACTTTCATTGTTTTAGTTAGTTATTCCTTTCTATACATCCATCTTTGACAGAGGAATATTGACTAACCTGGAGGTCTCTTCCAATTATTGCATAACCAACCAACTGCAGAAAACATGTGTAATGTTTGGTTTGTTCATGACCTATTGTTAGGCAACTACCTCACTTTTCATGATTCCCTATACATGAGAGATCTGGAACCCAGATAGAGCAAAACAATAGCAGAAACCTTTCTCCAGGATGGAGAAATAACTACCAAAAAAAGATTGTGGCACTGTCTTAGAGTTTCTAAGTATGGTCAGAGGATAGTACACTAACACTGCAGCTTAACAAAAAAGAAATCTGTGTCTGTTGGAAATCAGAGAAACAAACAGACATTGCTCGAAAGCTCAGCAGGTCTGTGCAGAGAAATCAGAGTTAATGTTTCGGGTCCAGGGACCTTTCTTCATAAGGGTTCCTCTCAGGGTCACTGGACCCGAAACATTAACTCTGATTTCTCTGCACAGATGCTGCCAGACCAGCTAAGCTTTCCAGCAATTCCTGTTTTTGTCTCTGTAGCTCATCAATTCTACTTACTGATGTTATTTATGTAGAATTCTGCAGTTTGGGTTCAACTTAAGTATTTTACTTCTGACCTTTTTGTGAGACTTACTCAGCAATTTTTAACTTAAACAGGTTCTATTTAAATATTTTGAGAAATAAGCGCATTATTCTGGCTTATGAACATGTTTAAAAACTCACCATCTAGGAGCAAAGAACTGCTCAGGTTAATGTGTAAGCACATGTATTGCAGAGGGTATGATGCAGAATTGGTAATCCAGAAGTCTGAATCTAATAATCTGTGGACTAGCAGGGGACCAAATGACTGTCAGATTGTTGGAAATATCCAATACCTCATGACGATCCTTCAGGATGGGAACCTGCCATTGGTATTCAATGGCATACCCAGAGTCATATTTCTTGTGTTATTGGCAAGTAACACAGATTAAGGAGAGTGGATTCAGTTTATGTGAAAACTGAGATTTATTCAATGGCTCAGGCTACAACTTGCAGTCACAAACAACAATGTATGGAACTCACTTTTGCTAGACTGCATATGGCAGTTGGTCATGTGTTTCATCCTGGTCCCTGACTCGTTAGCATATCCAGCACTTAAAGCAATAACAAAAGATTCCATCCTCAACCCCACTATTAAAGAATAAAGTGACATGTATTAAGAATGAAAGTGTACATACATTTGAGTAGTTGCAAAGCTATTTACACAGAAACAATAACTAAAAACACTGAAGTGTTTAAGAGTCAGTTTAACATACAAGTAGCTTGACAACTCTCTGGATGGTGTAACCTTCCAAAGATTTAGACTTCACACTTGGGTGTTCTCAACTTGTGAATGAGGTGAAATTTTGCATGTCATTTGCTGTCATAATGTCTGTCTTCCTCACCTTCATTATCCAAGCTTATTTTTGCATGCATTTTGTACACAATTGGAATATTTTACAGATCCAAATTCTGTCTTTCTTTATGGTGCCCATTCGATTTTGTGACTTTGTATGATCGAGGCTTAGTGCACACTTTGGAAACCTCTCTGGATATCCCCTGTATAATGCTGAACATTTGTCAAACCTATGATTAGGCATGTGGATCATGCACCATCTTCATTTTGTGAAAAGTTTTCCCTCTGTATCTCCGAGAACCTGGGAAAGGATATGGCTTGGAGGGTTTATCCTAACCTGGTTTCCAAACATGATCTCCCATATCCAAAAGGTAGAACGCAGTAACAAACCCTACACTTTGTACTGAGTGCTTAGAGAATGTGAACCATTCATTCAGCGAGACTACTGGTTCTGGGACAATGGGATGAGGCTGGTTTACACCCCATAGGGTTTACAACCCTATCGCACACATGATCCTGAAAAGTCTGCCTTTACAATGTAGCATATTGTCAGATATGATCTCTTCAGGTGTACCGATCAGCATGAACACTGCACTCATTGCATCTGCAATGGACATGCTTGAAATGTCTTTTAACTGACAATTGGAAATTTAGAAAAGTAGCTGGGAACAAGGAGAAAGTCATCACTATCCACAGTGAATAAATTAGTTGTAGGTTGAAGGTTCTTCCACATTGTAACTTCGTCCAGGTCCGTCTTGCTGATAACATCATATACCTGGCTTATACTTTTGCAGGTCTCTGGCCTACTCCCTATTGTTGCTGCTACAATGATACGCATGGCTTTTCTGTGGCCATGTCTTAGCGTAGCCTCTGTTTATATTTTTGGAAGCAGATTTCTTGCACTGGCAGACCCAGGGTTCTTTTGCATTGCATAATTTGTAAAGATCTTGGAATGCAGGACAGCTTTGCAGTGGCTGCAATAGATTCCACACTGTCCAACTTGTCTCTGCACCCACTGACAAAATGGTCAATTGATTCTCTTGCCTTTAAAATAACAACTCAATGTACAACTGTTTGTAGCATAAAAAGAACAATATTTATTTAAAATTAAGTCTCTATTCAACTTCTTACATCAAGTCCAACCTCTAGGAGTATAGGAGTATCGTTTTCCACTTTTATAAGTATGTGCCCACATAGTTCAGTGTACCAGAAATCAGTGAGGTGATCACACCTCCGCATGCAATAAAATGTGGAAATGGCAAAGTACTTTCTGATCTACTGTGGTCTTCTTCAAGCTTTGCTACACCAGCAGCTCACTGATAGACGTGACATTTGAGCATGTGAAAGAAATGAATCTGTAGTGCTCACTTACTACTTTACTAAACATATGGGAGAAAGGTAGGGCTTTGCACATAAGTGAATTTTTAATGGCATGCTAAGCTTTAATTACTGTTGAACAAATTGGAAATCTAGGTTCACAATATGGAGTCCCATTCTTTCAAACTTTAATTATTCCACACAAGCTGAGGGTACAATGAAGTACTCTCCTTCTCAACCTAACCTCTCCCCTCCCCTGAGGTGTTGTGATCCTCAGATTAAACCATCAGCAGTCATCTCTTGCTTACGAGAGCATAGCTCTATGGTCCGGTAGAACTATGGAGACTTTATCTTCATTGTTAGAGAACTTAAAAATAAAGCTTTGAACTTTTATTTTTTCCTCTCCTCCCCAGTCCCATTTTTTCCTCTTCTTTATTTTGTTTTCTGTTAGTGATGTAATATTAAATTCAATTTTCTAATTTATATTTCCTGGCTTATAGTCTGTTTGCATCAAGAAGGATTTTTCTACCTGATTGGTCTGCTTTGTTTACCTTACCCACAGGCCACAAATCTCCTGTAAAGGGCTTGACATGGGAAATGATATCTAAGTAAGGGAGCTGTCACTCAAAAACTCACATAAAGTCTGTATGCAGTTATTAACATTGTGAATGGTAAACACTACTCCTACACAACTGATTACAAGATCTAGTCATTTTCCACTTACCCCCTGCAGGTGACAAGCGCCCATCAGCTGTTCGGATTAAGTGTGTTATTTTTGTTTTTCTGGCCTTGCGCTTCTGACTACCAACGAGGGGTTCTTGTGTCACAGCTGTTAGTGGGCTGCTTGGAACCGATGGAACATGGTCTGCCTTCTCCACATGTTCCTCAATGTTTGAATCTTGTGGTACTATGGCTGAAATGTAAGAAACAATTAAGACAAAATCTACCACTCTAACAGTATCCATTCACATAAAATAAGACACTTCGGTCAGCTTGTTTGCAGAATACTGCTATTTATTGATCCAGCTTCCGTAGCCCAGATATACATACAGTTTCCTTCTTTGATGCAAGTCTGTCTTTTGCTATTTATTTATGAAGCACTCTCAACCACTTTAAACGTGCTCTATATCACTAATAATTTTTATTTGGGTGGCCATGATGAGATACTCATCCTATCGTAACCACCTCACTAGTTAATCTCTGGGCAACCCTCTTGGCCTACTACTAACCCTATCCTGTAGGAGAAAACAAAACTTACCTTTTCATTGCTGGATACCAGAGGAGCAGATTTTGATCTATGGTCTTTGGGACTCAGAAGCTGCCAGTCTCTGTTTGATTGGCAGTTACTACTGTCCTGGGACACTGTTGTCAAGGCTTGCGATAGGCTAATAAACATAGTTATGCTCTGCTTGCTCTTAATAAGCTGTGTGGCACATGATGGATCATGTTTACTTGAAGGTGGAGGTGGAGAGTTAATCAAATATAGGAAATGTGCACAGAGTGTCTACAGTTGAATAAATGGCTTGATCTAAAAGGTAAACATGAAGTTCACGTTAAAAGAAAATTCAGTTAATTGACTAATTGTCTTTCAAGTGTAACCTCATTATCCAATTCCCTCACTATTAAACACAGATGTCAGAAACTTGCAGACTTTTTTTCTAGCTTCCAGCAAATTGTTAATCCTTCTAAGTAAATCCTTATAACACAAATACATGCCAGAAATAATGGATTATAACAGCCCTGAAATCTATAAAATGACAGAGGAAGCCACAGATATTCTGTACAACATCAGTGACATCATTGATGACTGAAAGCACAACTTGCTGGATGGTTAGAACTCACCTTGGTCTTAGCACTTCCAGCATCAAATTTAAAGACAAAAGCAATATCATATTGGCTATAAGAACTTAATGTAATATGTAGTGTTTGAAGTACATTCCAAATTTCACCAACATATAGGAAGAAATGTGGTTACTTTTATACTTTGGGCTTTATTTGGTGACTGTGACTGAGATGCTGAATGATTGAACAAAGCGTGCTTCAAAGATTTGCCATACATTTTATGGTAAATTAATTATGTGCTTACTGGATTAATTAGAATATTAGAAATTATTAAATGACTGTTTTAATTGGACGTTGTGACATTACTGAGAATGTAAGATTTGAGCCTTTTAAAAACACCATGTCTGTTTTTGGAGCAGAGGCTGCATGTTTACATTCTAGCCATAACGAGGTAACCAAAGGATCTTAAGTAGCAAATATTTTATTAATAGGTCACTGAAATTGGAGAAACCTCAAATTAAATTTCAACTAATTTTATCTAGTCAGGTCTATCTAATTCACACAGGGGAGGTACTATAATCCTTATGTGCAATACCTAGACACTTGGCAAGGTCTATTAATGTCAAGAGAGTTTTCTTGTAAGAATATCACTGCAGTAATCCATTTACTAGCCTTTACACCTGGAAGTTAGTTTAAACTCTTTCACAGTTAGTTAAATTTATGATTATGGCAATCTAAAAAGATTAACTGGATATTATTACCATGGATTTAATTATATTCCAACAGGCCACCATGCCACAAGATTCAACCCAACAGTCTCACTGGGGCACTTAGGCCATTATATACAAATTTACATGCATGCGTGACATCCTCTGGGAACAATTAAGGCGTTTTATGTGATTTCCGTCCATGCTTCATTATGCGAACATCTGCAGTTACAGCTCTTACACAGAAGCTAGATCATACCATAACAATGAAAGAGTTTAAGAGCTGAGGCAACCTTTTCCCTTACCCCCATTCTACATCAAGAAACATCAGTTCCACCATGTAGCAAAAAATGAACCTTTATTAGTACCTTTATCAGTTAAGTGATGTGTCCCCTTTTGGTGTTTACACTTGCTGACTATTTTCTGAGATGGAGATGATCCTAAAAAATATAATTAAAAATATATAAAAAAAAAGAAAATGCTGGCTTTCACCAAATGGGTTCCTAATTCCAACAGAATAATGGTGATTCCATACTCTGTTCTTGCTAATGGAAAATTAAAATACAGCTATGCCTCGCACAATTTAACTCAATGCTTCAGTGTTGGCACACTGGTCATTTTCAGAGGACAGTATATCTGCTGGAGGAATTGGGGGAGATGATAGTGATCGCAGTAATAGCTGTTGTAGGTGTAAATATACTCATCTATTTAACTTTGAATAAGTCAGAAAATGCAAAAAGTCAAGTGCTCTGACTACATCCACTGCCAGAGAAGAAAATCTGGCACTGCCTGTACCCAAGTACTAAGTTCAAACACGTTCTTGTTCCTGCGTGGACACAGATAAACCAATTTTGCACAACGTTGCACTCCAAATGTTTCAACAAAAACAAACTTTTCTGTTATGTATTAAGTTCTCCTACCTGAACTTTCAAATATGTGAAAAGTCACAAAATGTTGAGCAACAAAGTTGTTCATCACTGGACAAAAGACAAATAGTCCATTGAGAGCAATAATAGGTCACTCCATCACATAGTCACATAAAAGAAAACACTTTGACTTCAGTTATAAGGCAGCTAATATTTTCCATCTGAACCAGATGAAAAACACACTATGCACTGGCAAATTGAATTAAAGTAGAGCTCATTCATTTTGAGTCTGATTTCAAGCTGCCACAAATTCAAGTTTATTACATTTCAGCCAGCACATACATGGACACAAATGTTAGTTTTGACCTTGCAAGAAATTTGCTAGTAACGTTTGAGGTTTTCCAATGCTCTGTTTAGAATGGTACCTTACTTCACTTTCACCCTTCCTTCCCCGTAGATAGTTGACATTCCTTGTAGATAGTTGACACTGTAAATTACTGTCAACCCTCAAGTACTATGCTTTTCTCCTTCAAAACTACAATCATCAAATACCTTCTCCAAAAATCATTCTCACTGTGCTTGAAGTCTTTTGCTTCATCTTTAACTTCAGCTCACTTATGTATTGCCAACCCTATCTTTAACAAAAAGCCATGTTTGAACTCCAATTACATTTCTATCCGTCGTAGTATAGAAACAGCACAAATCAATGTCAAAAATAATATCCTTATGACTTTGATTATGGTGTGACAAGATCCCATCTCATTCTTGCCAACCCTTTGTGCAGTCTTTGGCATAATCATCCAAACCATTCTCCTCCAAAACCTTTACTTCATTATTGAGCTTAATGGTAATGTCTTTTGTTACATCCTTACCTATTATATCAAAGTCAGAATATCTTCACCAATAGCTTTGATTCTATTCTTCAGGTCTCCTCAATCCATGATTTTCCTCTCAACTACATTGGCATATTAATCTCTAACGGCAATGGAGTTAACGTCCATATAGTTATGACACCTATCTCTGTCTTTCCAGCCCCTCTCAATCCCAAACTGCTTCTGTCTTATTAGATCCTGTTTCCGTTACTGTTGAATATCAGGAAGGCTGACAGCATCATCTGTAAATATTATCTAATCAACCTGTTGACACGTTATTACACACCTCTGGAACAGGAGGGACTTAAACTGTCTCCTGGCTCTGAGGGAGGAACACAATTTTGACACAAGAACCCTAAGCCATCAACTCTTCTTTTTCTTTCTTTTTATATCCAGAAGTGCTGTTATATACAACTGAACATGCTTTTTTACATCACCAAATCACTCATGATATTTTTATTAGCAACCACCAGTAATTCACCCATGTTTCTAATTGAATAAAAAATGTAATGCAAAGCATCAAAGGTGAAGGAGAAGTAGGGAGAAGGGGAGGGGTTAAACCAAAATGGAGTTGGAGTTGGAGGGGAAGCCATCATCTTTGACCCACATCTCAAATCCCAAACACCTATCACTAATTTTATCACCCTTCCTGACAGTTTTTGATTCAGACTTGCTTGGGATCTCAGTATCCAAATCACACCCTTTGCTGATTTTCCAACCTCATAATCTATTCATGACAAAGATTGTCGACTTTGACCTCCATAAGTTCACCCATCTCCACTGCTGCGCCAAAACCCCTCGTCTTTATCATTGCCATCGCCTTTGACACTAGGAATTAACTTCTCTCCTGGGTGGACTCCCACACCCATGATCTGTAAACATCATTCAAAACTGTGCTGCTTTTCTCTTGTCCCACATCTCACCTACTCACCCATCTCTTCAGCCTAATGTGAACAACCACGTCTTCCATTTTGTAAAAGCTGTGTTTGGAATTGCCTGTCTGTATTCCTGCAACTCCCTTTCCAAATTTAAAACCATTGTTAAAACATGCCTTTTTGACTAAATCTTTGGACATTGCTGCAAATCTCTTTTTTTGGGTAAGCAAATATTTGTGTCCAAGTATATCACTGTAGAATACATCAAGATTCTCTATGTTGAAAGGTGTGAGAAGAAAACAAATTGCTTTTGTAGTTTTTTCTTTGAAAAGGTGCAATTTCCAGAAAGTAACCAAAATGTCTAATTGTTGGATATAAATGCAAAAGCATAAACGTTATGGAAGCTGGAAATATGAAATAAAAATAAAATAAAAATAAAATATGCTATAAATACTCAGCAGGTCAGGCAGCATGAGTAGAGAGAGAAACAGAGTTTATTATTCAGATTGGTGACTTGTTAGTATCAACCTTAAATGTCAATTCTGATTCTCCCCCCACAGATGTTGCCTGACTGGCTAAACATTCCAAACAATTTGTGAAAACAAGTAACCTGAAATCAAAGTGGCTTTGGCATCAAAAAGATGGCACATTCACTTCTATACAATTAAAACTAAAATATATCTGGACTGCTTTATGTTCCCTAGTCCTACCTTTATCACTTTTTTGTTGATCAGTGGATCCACTCCTGTTCTTTTTCTTTTTTCTGGTCACTGTTGTGTTCTTGCGGTCAAAAGTTACTGGACTGTATTGTGGAAGGCTGTTGAATTTCTTTGCAAACTCCTGCTCTAGATTCCCCAACCTAGAAAGAAGACAAGAAAGTTCTCAAGTACATTATTTCCACACAACAACAACACAAAAATTGCTAGCAAAACTCAAAATGGAGTTTTGAAGAAGGGTCACGGGACTGAAATGTTAACACTGATTCCTCTCCACAGGTGCTGCCAGACCTGCTGAGGTTTTCCAGCAATTTCTGCTTTTATTTCTGATTTCCAACATCCGTGGGTCTTTTGGTTTTACATTATTTCCATAGTCTTGATCATCCACAGATTTTCAAGACTTTTTCTACAGTTCCAAATAAACATGATAAACTGTTTTTTTGGAGGGAACATTCAGCACAGAGCGATTGTAGAAAACAGTGCATGGGACATAGTGTGCAAAAGTTGGAAATTTGGTGCAAATAGGAATTTAGGGCAGGGGGAAAGGAGATGTTTGCTACTTTTTGCCTCTGATGTAGTAGTTTGTGTAAGTTCGCAATAGTTAGTATTTAAAAAAACTTAAATATTTATATAAATAAATATATAAATAATCTGGATTAAGGTATGGCAAAACAGGCTGTGGGCCTGGATATTATGTGGGAAGTTGTGGGCACAGAGGTCAGCCTTGGACACATCTATAGTAGATATTTCCATTTGGTTCTCTGGGGCTCAGAGTAATGGAGTTGGAGTATAGAGTGGAGAACTTGACTCGGGAGCAGTACCTGGACAGTTTGCTCCGAACACTGTTGGTCTACCCAAACCAAATAGATTACAGCAGTTCAAGGCAGCAGCTCACTAACCAGGAATGGATAATAATTGCCCATAATGCCGATGAATACCAGGAACGAATTAAAAAAGACTTTGGTCAACTCTGTGGAGACATGTGGGTTCATAAGGGATTTGGAATGGCTGATAGTGTACAATGTAAAAAAATAAGATAACCCAGTTAGAAAAACAATGAGTTTATAACAAGTATAATTGCTACCTGTGAGATAAGCATAAAGATTTTCAGAAGGATAGCCAGAATGCAGACATGGCGGGTCAGAACAGCAGACTATCCATAAAGGCAAGGAAAACAACAAGTGCAATAGATATTTGTCAAGGGTTCATTATTATAGAGACAGTGTGTTCAAGACCCTGTGCCAGGGTGAATAATCTATAAAACTACTTGAAAGGATAATGGCAGGGAGGGGATGGATCCAATCATTGTGATCCATATCGGGATCAACTCAGATAGAAAAGTAAGCATGAGATCCTGTTTAGACAGTACCAGGAACCAGGGGAGCTAAATTAAAGATCTGGGTTATAATATGGATCATTTCCAGTGTCATGTGCAAATTGGCGCAAACAAATTAGAGAGGTGACCATGTGGCTAGGAAAACACAATTCCATATGGGACACCGATGCCGGAAACGAGACATAAAGGAACTATTCTATTAGATTAGGCTCCAGCTAAGAGAGGCTGGTATCAGTATCCTGCCATAAAGGTTAAATAGTGTGATGAAAGAACTTTGAACTAGTGAATGCATGGATTGGGAGGCAAGAAGATTGCAAAGAGAGAAAGTAGTAGCAATAATGGTTCAAAAAACGTGACAGGGAATAGAAACTGTGCTCTAGGCAATAAATGTAAAGGGAAAAGTACAAGATATAATATGATTAAACTACAGAAATAAGAAACATATGCTTAAAGGTAAGAATTTAAGAACAGATGAGGGTGTGTAATCCAAATAAGTGTCCTTCACAAAAAACATGGAGAAATAAGAAACAGACTGAATGAAATACAGTTGCAAATTCAACTTGGAGTGTATGACATGGTAGCCATTTTTAAGACATGGCTATAAAGATGGTCAGGACTGGAAACTAAACATACCAGGGTGCATGGTCAGTAGAAAAGTAAGGTGCATTCTAGAAGGGAAGCAGCAGTGATTAAGGGCTTCTACAATGAGAGGTTATGAGAGATATTCAGGCAATGGAAACTTTATGGGCGGAGGTAATCAAAAAGGTTTTAAGAATGTTGAAGGAATTGCATACAAGTCTCTCCTGGTCACTGCTGTGAAGTGGTAGATTACATAAATGCAGGTATTAACCAAACATGTATCAATTATAGAGTGATTTTAATAGTTACTGGTTCAGATGCATGCCATACTAGATTCAGTATGGAATTATAAACTAGATTTAGCTAATAGCTCATGAACACTTAGGTAACAATAATCATAATATTGTGGAAGAAACACCAAACAGATCGATTTAACAACACAAACAGCTATCAATGACTAAAAAGGTGGACGACAACAAAGAACCAAAAGAAAAACCATATAAAAATGCTAAAAACAAGAGAACAAATGTGAAACAACAAAGGGTAAGAAAGCAGATAGAAAGGACTACAAATTGGGATTATGAAAATAAATTTGTGAGGATTATCAAAGTCAACACAGTTTTACAATTATATTAAGAAAAGTCAACTTCCACCAGAACTCTCTTTATAAAATCTCATGTTACAGTTATGGTTTACCAAGGCCAGTGGATATGTATTAAATATGCTAATACACAAAATAGAAGAAAGTTAGAAATACAGTGGTTATTGTCAGAAGTGAGAAACTTAATAAAACCACAGGCAGAATTTTCTCCTCACTAAATAAATGCTCAATATTACGCAGTTGGAAGTCACACCACACCAGGTTATAAAACATAAGGTTTATTTGAAATCTCAAGCTTTCAGAGCACTGCTCCTTCATCGGGTTACTCAGTTATGGAAGGAAAAAACAGCTTGTGCAACACTTTTCAAAATGATCTTGATGGCGAGATGATCTTAAAAAAAAAACCCTTTAACAGCTGACATTTTATTCATTTGCAAAAAAAAAAATTGCATCATATGAGGCTGTCAGTCACAGTTATAAGCATGTATCACAAAGAGATTCATGGCATCAAAGACATATTCTTATTTCCAAGATCCATTGAAAATCAGATATCAGTGATAACTCTATTTCATAATGTTACAACTTGCAAGTCAGACACAAAAGACTGCTTGCCACACAAATCCATCAGCTAAACATGAGTGAATGGGAGACAGGCGGCCAGGTTAAATCTCTAACACGAGTAGAGAGAAAGCAGAGGAAGAAATTGACTACTCACCCGAGAGCAGATTCATCTTTCTGTTTCAACTTCTTCAACTTCTTGGTTCCACTAGTCCCAATATTCGAAAATGACCAATCTTCCTCCTTCCAACATCCCTCATGGTCAGATGAACCCCCTTTTCCTGAAGCTTTCTTACCTAAAAGAAATGCAAACCCATTCTTATGTCATTCAGTAAACACACCAGGGAGTGCATCTATATTCCACCATAGCAAACCATCAGACTCCTTCAAAACCCAATACTTATTCCCAACATTGATCTGGCTTATGTCCTTTCAATATAACCTCTCCAAGGTTTTCTTTGTAAATAATTGCTCCGATAGAGATGAAAATAATGTTATTAAAATAGAGGTTTAAACTGCCATTATTCCAATTTATTTGAGAATTCATTAGCAAATCTTTTAAGCCATGCAATAAAGGGATAATGTTAGCTACATCTTCGCCTTGCACTTTTGAACTGCATAGATTCATCAGCTATGGTCTGAGATCTGCAGTTCTCCATTCAGGAAGACTAATCAGTGCTGCAACAATTGGCCATGTTATACACAATAACTGTCTGCCAGCTGCCAGATCAGCAAAATATTAGGAACTGGTAGACAAAATGCTCCTATTAGGTGAATCTTGCCTCTTTCGTTCAGCTACAGAGGTGAGCATTAAAGTCAGTATATCTTGGCCTTCAGTGACTTCTTTGGTAGCCTCTGAGTCACTGATTTCAGCAAAGTTGACAGTTAAAATTTATACAGGGCACTCCGTATGTTTGAAAGCGCTCATCTGCTGATAAAAGGGGCAGGATCAACAGTGTCAGTTCCACAAATGTCAGATTACAGCAAGTATTACTGGAGATAAAAATTTAGATTTTAGATCCAACCTCTGCAATTTGGGGATGAATGTTACCTGGGAAATATCTTGGGTGGCTCTTGTGATCTTTCAAAATTTACTTATTCATGGGATGCGAGTATACGATAGGACAAGGCTACTATCAACTTCTTCGACTTCCTGGTTCCACCTTGCGCTTGAGATGGTCTTAGTGAGCCACCTTCATAAACTGTTGCAGTTTGTATGGTAAAGGTACTCCCGCAGTGCTATTAGGAAAGGAGTTCCAGGATTTTGACACAATGAGTAACAAAATATGACTTTATAGAGGTTTACAAAGTCACAAGGGGCACTAGCCAAGCCTTTTACCCAGGGTAAGGGAGTACAAAACCAGACGGCAGAAGTTTAAGGTGAAAGGGGAAAGATTTAAAAGGGACCTAAGGGGCAACTTTTTCACACAGAGGGTGATATGTGTATGGAATGAGCTGCCAGAGGAAGTGGGGGAGGCTGGTACAATTCCACCATTTAAAAGTCATCTGGAGGGGTATATGAATAGGAAGGGTTTAGAGGTATATGGGTCAAATGCTGGCAAATGGGACTAGATTTATATAGGATATCTGGTCAGCATGGATGAATTGGACCAAACGATCTGTTTCCATGCTGTATATCTCTATGATTCTAAGTTAGTTTGGTGTATGGCTTCGAAGAAAATTTAAAGGTGCTGATATTTGCATGTGCTGCTGACATTGCCATTCTAGTTGATGGAGGTTTTGGAATTGAAACAAAACTAAAACTTGCTGAAGAAACTCAGCAGGTCTGGCAGCATCTGCGGGAAGAAAGCAGAGTTAACGTTTTGAGTCCAATGACTCTTCATCAAAGGATTCGAATTTGGTAGGTGCTGTCAAAGGAGCCTTGTTGAGTTGCTAGAATGTATCTTACAGATAGTACACACTGAAACCATGATCTGCGTATGGAAGAGGGAGCAAATTTTTACATGATAGATGGGATGCCAATCACGCAGGTTGCTTTGTCCTCCATGTTACTGAGCTTCTTATATATTGTTGGAGCTGCACTCTAAATGTTGAAGAGTCAAGCAATTTGTGATTTGTCACATAGCTGACTATATGAGGGATGCACAGACTGGCTGAGTAAATAGAGACAATTTGTGCTTTTGCAAATGGGTGAGGAATAACTGACTAATAAACAAAGTACAGCAAGTTAGGAAATCTTGGTTCTTTGCCATCTGGGGTCATATTCATCTTATTAAATCAGTGAAATTTCCCTAAAGCATTTTATGTCTTTAAACAACAGTATTATTTTGTATTTCTATAGTTCCTTTAACGTAGTAAAGGGTGCCAAAGTCAATTAGAGGACTATAATAAAAAATAAATACATAGTCATCAAAGAGATATAAAGAGGTAAGAAGGTAAGATTGTAAGAAACAGGAACAGAGTTGACCCTTTGAGGTTGCTTTGCTGTTCAACATGGTTGATCTGCTACGTCAACTTTCCTGTACCACATCATTTCCACATCTCTTGACTCCCTAAGTATAGAAAAATATATCAATATATAGCCTAAATAAATCATCCAAATAAAGTTCTCCTCATCTATATCCTAAGTGGCCAATGTATTCTCAGACTGTAGTCTCTAGTTTTTGACTTGCCAGACAAGGAACATATCCTCCCAGCATGAAGTACCTTAAGAATTTTCTATGTTTCAATGAAGATGAACTTCTCAGTCTAATTAATATGATTTAGCAGGTCAATCCTCTCATCCCAGAAATCATTCAGGTGAAGCCTTGTTGCACTGCCTCAGAGGCAGGTACATCTTAGTTAAGATGACCAAAACTGTATATAATACTACAGTTGCAATCTCATCAAAGTCCTACACAATTAAATATAGACTTTATGTATCTTTATATTCCACCCACTTTGTAATAAAGGCTAAAATGTACTTTCTCAATTGCTTGCATGCCTGATATGATGTAATTGGGATCATGGAGACCTGGCTCCAGGGTATCCAAAGATGGGGAACTCAACATCTAGGGTTATTCAATTTTCAGGAAAAATGGATGGAAAAGGAAAGCGAGGTGGGGTACCACAGCTGGTTAGAGGAGGAGATTAACACAATATTAAGGGAGGACGTTAGTCTGGATAACGTGGAATCAGCATGGGTAGAGCTGCTGGACACTAAAGAGGAAAAGATGTTAGTGGGAGTTGTGCGCAGACCATCAAACAGTAGTTGTGAGGTCAGGGATTGTATCAAACAGGAAATTAGAGATATATATGCTGTAAGGGGATAGCAATTATTATGGATGACTTCAATCTACATATTGATTGGACTATCCAAACTGATAGCAATGTGATGGAGAAAGATTTCATGGAATGTATGAGGATGGTTTCCTTGACCAATATGTTGAGGAACCAACCAGATAGCAAGCCATCCTAGACTCAGTGATAACAAGGTGTAGAGCTGGATGAACACAGCAGGCCAAGCAGCATCAGAGGAGCAAAAAAGCTGACATTTTGGGTCTGGACCATTCTTCAGAAATGGGGGAGGGGAAGGGGATTCTGAAATAAATAGAGAGAGAGGGGGAGGTGGATGGAAGATGGATAAAGGAGCAGATAGGTGGGAGAAAAGACGGTCAGGGAGGCGGGGATGGAGCCAGTAAAGGTGAGTGTAGGTGGGGAGTTAGGATGGGGGTGGGTCAGTCAAGGGAAGATGGACAGGTCAAGGAGGCGGGGATGAGGCTGGTAGGTAGGAGGTGGGGGTTGAGGTGGGAGGAATGGATAGGTGGGAGAAAGGATGGACAGGTCAGGGAGGCAGGGACAAGCTGGGCTGGTTTTGGGATGCAGTCAGGGGAGGGGAGATTTTTAAGCTTGTGAAGTCCACATTGATACCATTGGGCTGCAGGGTTCCCAAGCAAAATATGAGGTGTTGTTCCTGTAACCTTCGGGTGGCACCATTGTGGCACTGCAGGAGGCCCAGGATGGACATGTCATCCAAGGAGTGGGGAGGGGGAGTTGAAGCGGTTCGCGACTGGGAGATGCAGTCATTTGTCACGAACCGAGCGTAGGTGTTCCACAAAGCAGTCCCCAAACCTCCGCTTCGGTTCTCCGATATAGAGGTGGCCACATCGGGAACAGCGGATACAGTATACCACATTAGCAGATGTGCAGGTGAACATCTGTTCGATGTGGAAGGTTTTCTTGGGGCCTGAGATGGGGGTGAGGGGGAGGTGTAGGGGCAGGTGTAGCACCTCTTGCGGTTACAGGGAAAAGTGCCGGCGATGGTGGGGCTAGTGGGGAGTGTGGAATGGACAAGGGAGTCACAGAGAGAGTGGTCCCTCCGGAAAGCAGATAAGGGTGGGGAGGGAAAAATGCCCTTGGTAGTGGGGTCAGATTGCAGGTGGCGGAAGTGGCAGAGGATGATGCTTTGAATCAGGAGGTTGGTGGGCTGGTACGTGAGGACGAGGGGGATTCTATTTTTGTTGTTATTGCAGGGAGGGGGTGTGAGGGATGAATTGCGGAAAACACGAGAGATGCAGTCGAGGGCAATTTCGACCACTGTGGAGGGGAAGTTGCAGTCCTTGAAAAATGAGGACATCTGGGATGTCCGGGAGTGGAATGCCTCATCTCGGGAGCAGATGCGGCGGAGGCGAAGGAATTGGGAAAAGGGGATGGCATTTTTGCAGGAAGCGGGTGAGAGGAGGTGTATTATAGGTAGCTGTGGGAGTCGGTAGACTTGAAATAGATGTCGGTTTCCAGGTGGTTGCCAGAGGTGGAAACAGAGATGTCCAGGAAGGAGAGAGAGGTAAGACAGATGGTCCTGGTGAACTTAAGGTTGGGGTGGAAGGTGTTAGTAAAGTGGATGAACTGTTCTAGCTCCTCGTGGGAGCACAATGCGGCACCGATAAAGTCATCGATATAACGAAGGAAGAGGTGGGGGATAGGGCTGGTGTAGCTTCAGAAGAGGGATTGTTCCACGTATCCTACAAAGAGGCAGGCATAGCTTGGGCCCATGCGGGTACCCATGCCCACCCACTTTGTCTGTAGGAAATGGGAGGAATTGAAAGAGAAGTTGTTAAGGGTGAGGACGAGTTCAGCTAAGTGGACAAGGGTGTCAGTGGAGGGGGACTGGCCGGGCCTGCGGGACCGGAAAAAGCGGAGAGCCTTTAGGCCATCTGCATGGGGAACGCAAGTATATAGGGTCTGGATGTCCATGGTGAAGATGAGGTGTTGGGGACCGGGGAATCGGAAGTTTTGGAGGAGGTGGAGGGCGTGGGTGGTGTCACGGACGTAGGTGGGGATCCTAGACTCAGTACTG